CTACTTTTCCCAAAATCCAGATGATCACAGACAGGTTCAGGACAGTAGCTGGAGACCTCTGGTCCCTGTAAATCCCTAATCTCAGTGTCCCCAGTCTTGAAGGGAGCCAACCAAGATCATGCAGATTGAGAGGTGATCACCTTGCTACATCAACCTTTAAGCAGGCATTCCATAAATGATTAATGTACCTATGTACAGAGTTGAGAAGGAATTTGACCCAAAGTTTTATTTTATTTTATTTTGGTACCTGGGATCAAACTTAGGACCTTGTGCTTGCGGGGCAGGCGGCAGCACCATTGAGAGCCAAATCCCTGGCCATTGGCCCAAAGTTTTGCAGTAACAAAGGCTACAAAATGAAGGTCAAGCTTTGTTGTGCTTTTAGTTACTATTGGGCATTTGTAGGCCCAAGTGAAGAGTCATGGTTTTTAGCAAAAATGGCTTTTAGGTCACTGACTGTCCCAAAAGAAAAAACATAAATTGTGCTTTTAATGAGTAGTTGGCCAAGTGCCCAGGACTCTGCCCATCCCCCATCCCTGTGGTGGTCTCTGACTGTGTCACGACTGTCACCACTTCTGCCTTAAAATATAAATTCCACGAAGGGGATGGTTTTTGTGTCTTGTGTTTTTCACTGTGTCCACAGTGACCAGGACAGTGTCCACATGTGGCAGTCAGTAAATGTGTTAATGCAGAACAGCTACTTGGTCGCCTCCTCAGGTGATTGTTCACCTGGTACAGGTTCTCCTTTCTGCAAGGTGCCCTGCAGGTGCCAGGAACTAGGTGGTAACATTGCTGTGTCTCTGAGAAGTTGCAGGGAAAAAGTGATATATTAAAGGATATTTTTCTACCTCTGAAACAGAAAAATTTACAGAATACACCAATATTGAAATATACCTTTTCTACATCTGCTTCTCCTTTGGCCACCTACCTCTTATTTAAAATACATTCAAATATAAATATAAAATGATTGGGGAAGGGTAAAGAAAGTCCTCATATATACAAGAAAAGTCATGCATTACAGGAATTCTTAACTACCAAGGGAGCTGTATTAGGACTTGTAGAAGGAAAGATATATATTTCACCATTTAAATACTTGCATACTTAAAACCATGCACTAACTGAATGTTTAGGAACCCTTATCAATCAAATATAATCAAATCCTTATCAATTAATTCTTTGTGGAGGAAGTGATGGAAAAGAATGCTGAAAACCAGTCTAAACTGCATTTATCCAATAATCCAACAGACAGTGTCTCCTCTGGGACTGGATTGGTTCAGACTCAAATGCACCCACCCCCCTTTTTTTACCCGGGTTAAGATATAATAAGAACAGACACCTAATAAAACCCTACACTAACAAAGACACATTAGGTTTTGTTCATTATTATTTTTTCTTGTACAAAAACTGTCATTAACTAAGATAAAGTGATTAGTGATGAATTATCCCTTTCCATGGGCATTCAAGCTAATCAAAGCCTTAAAATTATATTTTCAAATTGGCTGGCATCAGTTGCCATCTTTGATGCTAAGATTTGAAGAAGACATTGAGAGCAAATATTAGAAATACAGTATTTTGTAGCCAAGAGAGATTGTCAGACCCCATTTTACAAAGGAAAAAAATGAGACTCAGAAGGTTAGAAAGGTTAGATTCAAAAGATTCTTTCTTTAAGGGTTCATAAAAGGGAACCTTATGCTGTACCCTGGCTTTGGGGACCAGAGCCCGGTTGTGAGAGCAACTGTAGAAAGTCTGCTGGAACATACAGAAAAGAGCTTTGGGCTGAGAACCAAGTGCTGCCTTAGTCATTCATTAACAGTGAAGCATGGGGCAAGTTCTTTGCTGGACAGAACCCTTATTTCCTAATTTGTAACATAAGGTAATGAAGGCACAAAGCCACCATAAGAACTAAGTGAAAATACACTCATTTAAAAAATTAAAGTTTAGTCACTGCTTTACTACACCAGTTTTTGTTCCTGGATGTATTTTATATATGTAGTCCATTAGTAGTATTAACCCTGTTTTATAGTTGAGGGAACTGAAGCTGAGAGGAATTAAGAAATTTGTCTAATGTCATACAGCCAGCAGCTGACATTGCATTTAGGACCCAGATCTCTGGGATAACCAAAGCTCTCCTGCATTCCCTGACACTAGAGTAGCCTGGGGCAGATAATCTGGAAATGTCTAATGAATAAATATCTTATGTGAGGAAATAAATTTTTTAAAAAGCAAACATCTCTGGAAAGTTTTGTTAACTTCTGAAAGGCAAAGTGGTAGAAATAAACCATTCTGTAAGGCCTCTTTACTCTGTAAGGAAATAAGCAAAGTCACTGGTACTTGAATGTTGAGATTTGTTCATTCAGAAAACGTCTTTTGGACCCATATAAAGGTACTCTACTAAACATTGGTTTATTAATCTGGCACAGTGGTTTTTTTTAAAATCAAAGTTGCATTTTCTAGAACATGTATATACTTAAAGTATAGGAGGACTTTTTATAATTCACATAGACAGTATTTATCCCTGTTTATTTATTTATTTCTGAGCAGGTGCATAATTTTAATATACTGTATTTTGCTTTGTTGTTTATATTTGGCTATACCTATAAAGATGCCAAGTTTTGGATCAAAGCTATAATGCTTCCTTCCCCCATTACTGTATTGTTTTTCTGGGATGACTATAATGTAGTTTTTGATAACCCACTCCAAAATGTCTGTATTTTAGAGGAAAAGAATATTCTATGCTCCTCTCCCATTTGATAGTGGATTATGTCAAGTGGGATGGGAGAGATAGGGATTGTCTTAATTTTTTATAATCCCATGCTTTAAAAGTTAACTAGTTTATTTTGAGAGCTATCTTAAGGTAAAAAGAATAAGGGGGTGCAGAATTTTGTGATCTAAAGATCTCTTAAGTTGTCAGATTAGAAATATAACAGCAATTATAAAATTAAATTTTATAATTTAAAAATTATAAAAACATAAAGTTGAAATAATCCCCCCACCCCAAATGACAACAAAGGAAACCAGAGTTACATTATAGGAGTTAGGTTCTAAGTGCTTGAAGTGAAAATTGCCCTTAAAGATCCCATAGGATAGCTCTTGCATTTGTATGAGCAGGTGAAGACTAAGACAAAGCAAACAACAGCACATTTATGTCTCCTACTTCATATAGTGGCTGAAATTTAAGTTTATTGAATAACCTGAAATGCATACATACTGTCTCAATCGTTGCCTCTACTTTTCTTTGATCCAAGCTGGTTCTACTATAATCCCATTCATGAAATATGTCTGTGGCATGTGTGGCTCTGGATCATTCCCTACCTACAGGAGCATGCAGAAGTGGTTTCAAAGTCATGTTCCTCAGTGCTATTGAGGATCCAGAGCAAGGAGAGTGGCTCTGGGTTTGTCATTCCCACCTCCCTCCTCTCCACATACAAGCTTATTCCTGTCCATCTCAGGCAGGACTCCATTTTCTAAGATCTTGATGTGTTTGAGCCTGATACAGTGGCCCACCCCAGCTGCTAGGGAAGCTGAGACAGGAGAATTACAAGATCAAAGCCAGCCTTTGAACTTTTTTAGCAAGACCCTGCCTCAAAATAAAGAGGACTAGGGATATTGCTCAGTGGAAGAGCAGTTGCCTAGCCTATGTGAAGCCCTGGGTCCAATCCCAAATACTACATTAAAAAAATAGATAATAAAATAAAAAGTATTAGAAACTTTAGCTACTTAAAACATTATTTTAAAAATTGAAAACCATTCAGGTAAACCAACATTCTGTATTTTCCCTCTACTACTTCTCTGTCGTTGTTTAGAAAATGTCATTTAATCTTTCTGACTTCAGTTTCCACATTTATAATATAAAGGCTTTGGGCTAAATATCCTAAGTGTATGATACCTGTGCTAAAAATAAGCTATAGCAGAGAAACTTCTGGAAACACCACTACCAGCCTGGCGTCACTAGTAATGAACTGTAACAACAGAACATGTTCCTTGAGTGTTGCTCAGATAATGAGATGGAAAGGAGAGAGCATTTTCTCTAATTAGTGAACAAAACATACAATGACCCTTTGCCTGCTGGTGGTATCCATTACAGAGGATTGTCTTTTCTGGGATGTGCTCTAATTATTTGTTTACTCAAGATATTTATTTTTGCCCTTGACAAAAGATGAACACATTTTTTTCTTAGCAGTTAGCAAACATTTCCTCAAAAATTGTATGTTTAACTGTTTTTTCATTTCTTATATTTGGTGGTACAGAGGATTGAACCCAGTGCCTCACACATGCTATGCAAGTACTCTACCTCTCAGCTACATCCCCAGCCCAAAATTTTTACTGTATTTTATTTTATTTATTTATTTTTGGTACCAGGGATTGAACTCAGGACCTTGTGGTTGCAAGGCAGGCAGCGGAACCATTGAGCTAAATCCCTGGCCCCAAAATTTTATTTTTTAAAAAGTATCTTCAATGAGTTTTCTTCTGAATAACTTGAGAAGAGGTTGGACTGCGTGATGCACAGATTTCAAAAGTTAAATCTGCTGAGCTGGAGGGACGGCATTTTTGTGTTGCTTAGAAAGTGTGTGTTAAAATGCTCCTTGTCACATTAGTTAAAACGTGTGCAGATACTTTCAAAACACCTAAAAGATTTTGAAGTTAGTAAGCAGTGTCACTTTGTATGATTTATGAGTGGAAAGTCCTCAAATGTCCCTGTTTTTTATTTTACACCTTTCCAAATATGTATCTGTGTTCATCATTTGCCCTTGGGCCACTCTTAGGGAAGTTTCCAGAGGTTTCCAGTCACAGCTTTTTTATCCACCTTGGCCATCCTGAGCAAAGCAAAGCTGTCTTTATCAGGAGCGCCCTCTTGAGGACAGACTTGTTGAAGGAAACTGCACAAGTTTTCGTTCAGCTAAACATCATACCTGTATCACATCTCAGTGCAAGGGAGGAGGAATGGATTTCATGATATACAAAAGTTTGCTCATTTTTTTCTTTTTGCTCTTTGTCTCCATAAGGTCAGCCACCATCCACCTATCTCTGCGTGTCATGCTGAGTCTGGAAATTTTGTTTTCTGGCAAGGTAATGTGCTAATATATTTAACCTCCATTTCCTGGAACATTATAAATGTATTATATTCAGGAATTGCCATCAGTGCTTGCTAAGATCAAAAATGGTCCCAGGACTTGGATCTTATTAGAGAATCTGCTCCACTTGATGTTCTCACCCCTCCTCTCTGAACCGTAATTGATATTTGTCCATTATTAATTGATATTAGTTTAACTGTTAATTGGTTATTATAAAGTCTTCAGGGAGATCATTTAATTTTCCCCTTTTAAACAATATCTTCCATCTTTATCTGGATCACTAACAGTTATTTATATATTTTTTCTGTATTCTACAGCCATTTCAAATATCTCATTTATTTCAGAAGACACTAAATATTTTCTCCTATTTATCAGAGCCTAAACAACAGAGGGGTATTTTTACTTTTGATACATCTAAATTTTATTTCTGGAATCACATTTTATACTGCTGCTTTTCATTTTTGAGTTTGTGGTTTCTAAAATTTTGTTCAGTTTCTGTTTTGAATGGCTGACAATATTTCTTAGGTTAATTGATTTTGTTAAAGTCTCATTTATTCAGAAAGTTGGAGTGTAATATAGACAGAAAATATGAGCATCCTGGGTTTTTAAAGAATAAGCATGTATCTGTTTTAAAAACATCTTTCTCTACTAAAATGATAACCACCTGATTTCCTACCTGATAAGTCCTCATTTTAAAAGTACAAAAGAATATACAGTATCACCTCCCTATCTGTACCCCTTCCCTCACCACCCAGTTCCTCTGTAAGGATATGATTGATATCACCAGTTCAAAGTACTGTGATTTCCTTTCTTACAGTTTGCTATTAAAATTTAAAATTGAAGCTTGATTTGATATTTCTCTACCTTTCACCAAAACTCTCTGCAAACAATTCTCATAAGGTTTCTTAACACCCTGTTAATCTCATTGACCCTATAAGCACCCCTTTTTTTAGTTGTTTGTTTTTTAAATTAGGTATTTTTTTAATGGGGGAGGTCTTCTCAAATAGTTTCGGTGTGCTCCCCATGTTACACGTTTCCTCCTTAACTCCATTTCTGATCATTCATTTCCTGGGAAATTCTTCCTCATCAGCCTTTTCTGACTAACTCTACCTGTTTCCATAGGCCTATGGCTCTGAAATCTTGATTTTTTATCCAATTTTATATTTTTCTGCCTTTTAATTATGTTGTTTAGTCCATTTACATTTATTATGATTATAGATATAGTTGAGTTTAAATCTGCCCTCTTATTTGTCAGATCTGTTTTTTGTTCCCCATTTTTTTCTTTTCGATTAATTGAATGTTTTCTGTAATCCTATTTTATCTCCTCTGTTGACTCCTTAGCTATGCCTCTTTGTTCTATGGTTTAGTTGTTACTTTAGGATTCATACATTCATTAATATATTACAGTCTACTGTCAAGTAATGTTATACCACTTCACATATATTATAAAAAAATTAAAGTGTACTTCTGTTCCTTCTCTTCTAAACTTTGAGCTTACATATGTTATATCCCCCTATATGTTGTTACTTTTGCTTAAACAGTTCTTTTCCCCATTAGATAACAATTTTATTGAGATATAATTCACATATATACCATAAAATTCACCTATTTAAAGTGTATAATTCAGTGTTTTTTATTTTAGTATTCACAGAATTGTAAAGTCATAGCACAATTAATTTTAGAACATTTTCATCACTCTAAAAAGATAGCTCTAGCAAATACTTTCCCCTCCAATTTCCCTCAGCACCCCTAGCCTAAGGCAACAGCACTCATCTACTTGCTGTCTGTATAATTTTCTGATTTAGGGCATTTCATATGAACAGAATCATACTATGTGGCTGGGTGCTCCCCAGGCCTGCCCCCCAAGGCCCCTCCCCAGACCCTCGCACCATCCTGGACCCCAGCTCTGGCCTCCCCTGGCCACCTGCTTCCACCCCACCCCCCTGCAGCCTTTCTGTCCTCAGTCTGGCAGCCAGGGGACCTCTCCTCAGGCTTTCTGCTGCCTGACTCCTCTGTTGGTGCACCATTCATGCAAGTTAGAAAAATCTGACATCATTTATAGATTCTCCTTTTCTTTCTCAATCTGTATCTAATATTCCACTCTATTCCTACTTCTTTAATATTTATAGGGTCACTGTGTCACCCTGGCTATTACTCATTTGTCCCCTGGGTAATGACTATAGCCTCTCACTGCCTTTCATCTCTTCTTCCAATTGTCTTTGCAGGGTCTGTATCTAATCACATCAGTTCCCTGTTTATTTTCCCCCAGTGCACACAAACCAGACTTCTTAGCCAGGTTTGTAGAGCCTGCTCATTTTTGTTCTCCATCTGACTCCATCTCCATTTGTTCTACTCTTTTCTGTAGATAATCTCAGACCTAGAAGATAGAACACACTCTACTGTCATATATTTTTATCTCCTTATGCTATTTTTTCTGCCTTAAATTGCTTTTTTCTGCCTGGTGAATTCTGCATATTCTACATTCCCCATTTAGGTGCTCCCTTCTGAAAAACTTCTTCTGATATCTTACCCCCAAGCATGTTGGTCATTTCTTACTGTGGGTTTCCATTTCACCTTAGAACACACTCAGCTATAGGGTGTGTCTCTCTGTGTGGCCTACTACTTGTTTTTACTTTTGTCGGCTTTTCATGCTGCTGAACTCTTCCAAGGGAAAGCCTTTATCTTATAATTTTAGTTTTTCTGATTCTGTTTCAAGTACCCAGTTAGTGCATACATTGATGAAATATTCTCCTATACAATAATTAATCCGATTATGAAGAATTATACTATCTAGTGATTATCATTTGGGTAGACTAAGAACTCTGACTAGCTGTCCTGCTAGACATCTAATAATTGCTATATTATTTCAGATGTGAGATGGAAAAACAAATTCTGGGGCAAATCCATGGAAATTGTTCCAGTCGGCACAACCCATGTGACTCTCCCAGCGTAAGTTCTTCTGTGGTTAGGAATTTTACAGAATTTAGTGGCAGGAAAACACTTTAGAGTCAGGATGCCCACCACCCCTATGACCTGGAGAGTATTGTTTTCTTTTGAGCTGTTTGGCAGTGACGTGAAATGCTCCTCATCTGGGCAAGCTTGGGTTTTCTTTCCCCCAAGTGGAAAAGCTACTTGTAGCCCAACGTTCTCCTACTTCCTGTCAAGGTTAAGATGGTAGTTTTCTTTAACATTATTGCCCTGCCTTACTGTCAGAATTTCTTTTAAGAAAGACATGGCGTTTCTCTGACAAGGATTATTGATGCTTATTTATAAAGCAAAATGCCCATGAGCAGGGGCTCTGGAATAAGGCTGCTGAGACTCAGTGCTCGCTCTGCCCCCGTGGCCGCCTTTCTCATGACTAGTCGTTTCATCTGCGAGCTGGGGATTATAAGCCACCTCCTTTGCGGGAGAGTTGTGAAGAGCAAATAGTTAATATGCATCAAGCACTTAAAACAGCACTTGGCACATAGCATATGCCACATATTTAGTCTCATCAGTTTCCTCATAATTCTTATCTAACTCAGTAATAGCTGAATAACATCTCTTCATAAAAGATATAATTGTCAAATCATACCAACCCCCATAGCTTCCTCCCACCAACTTCCCCTTCCTACCTGGGCAGCTCTATCATGTCAACTCTGGCTCGGTTGCCTCCTTTGTTGAAGGAGGAAGTGGGTGGTCCAGAGACCACAAGCCTCTAGCAAAGCCTTCCGTGGATTCCAGAGTACAAGAGTCTGACCACCGCATCCTGTGTGTGTCTCAAGTGACTCCTTGGAGCTTGGAGCTCTTGTGTCACCCATGCTGCACTGATGCACAGTGTGGGGTTGGTGAGTGAAGAGAAGAGTAAATGTGATTTCTTTTATAAAATAGCAGTGTTGGTTTGCAGCTATTGCTGGCTTTTCTGGGTATTGTCACTCTTTCTTCTCCCTGCATTTTAGCTTTGGAGATCACTTTGAGTGGAACAAGGTGACCTCTTGCATCCACAACATCTTAAGTGGGCAGAGGTGGATTGAGCACTATGGAGAGATTGTCATCAACAACCTGAATGATGATTCCTGCCACTGCAAAGTGAACTTCATAAAGGTAATTCAGGTGGCTCTCTGAGCTCTGACCCTCGAAGGGCTGAGGTGGGCCTGGAGCTCAAAGACACAGGCTGTCTGGGCTTTACACCTTCCCATTTGTACCAGCAGACAAGCAGTGCCAGCACCCCCTAACCCCAGCCCCACCTCTGTCACCTGGACCAGGACCGTGACCCTTCCTGGGCTCTCTCCCTCCCTAACTCCCTGATGATCTGTCCTCAGTGCACAGCTAGAGGGGCCCTTTAAAAACACATCATCATCCACAACATGGTTGCAAATTGGAGACATTATCTTACGTGAAGTAAGCCAGATGCAAAAGGATACACTGCATGGTTCCACTTACATGAGGTCCCTGGAGGAATCAAATTCACAGAGACAGAAAGCAGAGTGGTGGTTGCCAGGCCTGGAGGAGGGAGAAATGGGGAGTTAATATTTAATGGGTGCGAAGTTTCTGTTTGGGAAAATCAAATTTTTGGAAAGTGGTGATAGTTGCCCAACATTGTGAAGGTCATTAATACCATTGAATTTTACATTTGGGTATAACATTCGGATGGTAAATTTTATGCTTATATGTTTTACCATAAGGAAAATTGTGCCATATCCTCCAATTGAGCTAAATCCTCCAATAACTTTTACCTTTCTCAGAGCAAAGGGCTGCAACACTACAGTGGTCCGCAAGGCCCTGCGTAGTCTGCACTACCCACTCCCGCCTCGGGCACATGCTTGCACACGTGTGCACAACAGGCACACATGCCACCTGCCCCACCCTCCTTCCTCCGACCTCAGCTCCTACCACCCTCTCTTCCTCACTATCTTCTGGCTACCGTGACCTTTTTTCTTCATTTCCCGATGCCTCTATCATTCTCCCCAGACCCTTTTGTCACCTCCCCGATCTGTCTTTCATTCTCTTTCATATCCCATTTTCTTCCAGGTTTTTATTACCATCTGAAATTAGTGTGCTGATTCTTTCTTTAACTGTTTATTTTCTGTTCTCCACACTCTCCTTGCCATCCCTGACTCCAGAAGAGCAAAAGCCTGATCTGTCTTACTCACTACAGTAGCCCTCATGCCTGGGACTGGTACTGGCATGAGGCAGAGGCTCATGATGTTCAGAGAAAATGGAAAGATTGGCCCGATGTAAAAAGTATAGAGTAGGGCCAGGGGTTTAGCTCAGTGGTGCCACCGCCTGCCTCGCAAGCGCAAGGTCCCGAGTTCAATCCCCAGTACCAAAAAAAAAAGTATAAGGTAGTCTCTTTATCTTTCTGGCCGCCTTTATTTGAGGTCTTCCATACTTCTTTCCTTCTTGGAATCTTTCTTGCACTTAAAAATCATATGTACTTCCTTTACATGATGTTAAAGCAATACCCTCCTCAAGAAATATTTGCATTTAACTAAGATCAAAAGACATGAGCCACAAGATGAGGTTTCAACTATTTGTAACCCATAGGGGACCCTAATGAAGTTGACTGCAGTCTTTATTACATAAGTCAAATTGGGTTGTAGAGAGACCTACCGCTAGTAGGTCTCCATTTGGGGCAAAATAAAAATGACCCTACCTTGAAAGCTTCACCTCAGGCTCTGCAAAAAGAAGCAAAGGGCACCCTGGAGCAGGCATCTGTTACCCCTGACCAAGATGAGAGCCCCCTAGTTTCCAATATTTTCCCAAGGAATTGTGCTCAGGCTCTGTGTCTTCCACCCAGCTGTTCTCACCCACTCAGAGCCGGAGAAGGGACTTCTGTAGTGAGGAGAGATGAACACTGACTGGGCCTCTGGTGTTGAAAAACAGTCTGAAAGCAGATGCCACGGTTGTCCGTCAAATACGGCTGGGCCCCTCTGGCTTCCCATCTAGTTGTCAACATCGGATTTTTGGGCAAATATCTCTAAGAGAAGAAATCTAACTCTCACTTCAGAATAAATCAAAGAGCCTGGACAGTTTCTTTCTCCCTCTCCCCTCCCTTCCCCTCCCCTCTCCTCCCCTCTCCTCCCCTC